GTGTGTGTGTGTGTGTGTGTGTGTGAGGGAAAAGGGTGGGTGATGAGGAGGCCGAATGCGTCAGATGGTGATGGTGATGGAGACATTACTAACGCATTAAGTCCCTTGTGTTTGATGGAGTTAACAGATGACATTTTGGTCCATGACACTCACAACCTGCATCATTGGAGAAAAAATAGAAGCTTTACCATTAATTTCAGCACTTCTTCTTCATGCTCCTTCCTCTGGCGAATCATACGCATACGGGACACTGTTTTACACCACAATACAGCAGTCCTCCAGCTCTGGTGAGACCTTTGACATATTTATTAAGAAACATCGACATCACCATAAGGACACAAAACCAAATCTACTCAAGAGGATAATTTTTTCTCCTGTTCTGTGTTTTTTCACATTTGCAGAGGCGGTTGGGTTTTGTTGGAAACACTGTGGAACCAACCTATGCAGAAGTGTGACTAACGAGAATGTCACTTATTGTTTATGAGCTGTTTCACATTAGTCCGTTAGGAAAGAATTAATTCCATTTAAATTGGATTCGACCCATAAATGAAGCCATTTGCCATTGTGTCTTTATAAAACCACACATTTTAGCATTGGATGAAAATACATGAATTTAATTATGCGGAGGTTTATTTTATTTGTTAGGCTCCAGAGGGAGCAGACATATTAATTAATCACAAAAATTGGGTAGAAGCAAAAACCAGCGTAGCTCCTGCCACTAGGTGGAGTTCCTGCCTTAATACAGCAATGGTGTGGCTGAAAGACAGACAGACGGGCAGACAAATAGATGGTGGGACACACAGATCCCATTGGAAAGTAGGGGTGTTAGGGCCAGTCAGAGAGTGTGATGACGCAGTGTCTCAGCTCCCCAAAGCTTTGACGCACAAACCCATGTACCATGGTTTTACGCATCACATTGTTTCCATCCAGCCTGGCTTGACGATCCACCATCCCCCAATCATCTCCTCTCCTTTGTGACCTTATGCTTTGATATAATGACATCAGAGTTTTGCTACAAGTGTGTGTGTGTGATAGCTTCTTTTGGAAGCAGACTGTGGCTTCATGGCTGAAACTTAGTCTGCAACTCAAATCCCGATTTTTTTTCCCCCACCATGTCGGCTAATTGCTGCAGTTTAATTTTAATATCCAATCTGTGATGTTTTCCTGCTCACGCATCATTTGAATTCGGTCCCTTTCAGAATAAACACTCTCTGGGTGGAGGGGTTAAACTGAGGATAAGCTCGGCAGGATGCTGTTAGGATGTCAAGCGGAGAAGCTCAGCTCTGTCAGCCTTCAAATCCGGTAACATCTTCTTTCAGACAGTCTCACACTGACGTACATGTAGGCTCATTTTCTTTCACTTCTTTCACAGAGCGCCTGTGCAAAATGTTCACACATGGCAGCAACATGCGGGATTCAAATTGCGATGTGGCATTGTGAAGCTATAGTAAATGTTGTTTTCTGCCCAGCACACAGACTCACACTCACTGGAGATGACTTTGTGCTTTTAATTTGAAGTCAAAATCGTTTTTCTGCTTGAATCCAATAATACTTATAGTGTTTATAGTATTTTGCAAGCATGGAAATGACTTAATCACAGTTAATAAAAATCAATATAATGTTGATAGTTGG